TATTTATATACATTACATTCCAAGCACTCCTGAAATGTTACAAATTCCTAAAATATCAAAAAATACAAATTCTACAAACGTCAAACATTCTAAACACATTCCAGAAACGTCAATACACAAAAATAGTATTTCGCAGTAGTTTTAGTAATATATATATATATTTATTTCATCTCTGCTTCCATGTGAATTATGAAATTAATTAATGAACTAAACGACATTTACAAAAAGAAAAGTGCAAGATCTTCATTCCCTTAAAGTTAGACATACTAAAAAGGAATTTAAAATAAAAAGAATACACTACACAATAAATAATAATATTAATAATAGAATAGTATAGTATAGAAAACACAAATAGGATAACACTTTGTACCATTTACAAATCAGCTTAAAATTACGAAACTTTATATTATATGGTAGGGGGAGGGGGATGTTAGACCGATTTCAGCTTGTTCTTGGCGTGAATCTCGAGAATCACCAACTCCAACTTCTTGACGACCATCTCGACGTCCTCATCGGTGATCTCGTGGTAAAGCACGAAACGAACGCAGCTCTGGTCTCTGGTCGTCGCCCTCACGTTCACCTTGAACGTGTCGTTCTCGTGGACATCGGCCAATCTCTGCAGGAAATCCGTCGCGCTGATCTTCGTCGAATCCAGGTAGACCATAAGGATGTTCGTCTGCACCGTGTTCAGTTCCACCTTCACCATATCCGACTTCATGTCATCAATCGCTGAAAAAACAAATAATCATAATTAGTATAATCTTGAGATGTACGAAAATAAATGTAGTAGTGATATTATGCAGCAAGTTTGGTTGTTTAATTGCGCGAGGCAATGAATGATTCATTTAATTCGCAGTAAATGTAATAAACATTGGTATTTGCAAGCCGTTAAAAGCGGGTGGCGCATGTCTACGAAATGTAGTATTGTGTTCATCTAAATTTGTACATGTAAACAACATTCATGTCCGTCCGTCTGCTCTCCATCCAGCTTTCAATCATTTCGTTCGATCTTGTTCGAGTAAAACAATCGTTGCCGCATCTGACGTAATCGCTGAAATTCCTCCCATCCTGCCCAACCTTATCAAATTTCTTGCGAAAGCCGCGTCAGGCTAGAACAAACAAACAATATAGAAACGTAAACCGCATTTCCATTCTACACTTTTCGCAAGTCGCGATTAGGAAACCCATCTTATCAGCACAGTACGCGCTTCTCCTCTCTCCAGATAACGACTACTCACACCAATTAACGAAACTTTCCCTGCAATCATTCGTTTCACCTGCTGTCAAGATGGGAGCAGGTATTATCAGGTGTCTGCTGCTGTACGGTTCGTTGCTGATTGTTGCGATCGAATGTCAGGTGAGCGTTGAAGTTAGTCCAGTGTTTGCAGACAATTTTGAAATGATTAAAATATTCAGATATGCGATCGCCCGGAAACCTTCAGTCCAGAATGCGTCGCAGGTGTGGCCAACAATTTGTCGCGTACGAAGGGCGGACACATCGGGATCGTCGCGGCGCGTATCAACGATCTGATGGACGCGCCCAAGACTTCCCTCTTAGTTGCGCAGGAGACTTACAACTCGACGGATAAAGTTCTTAGGTCTCTGGACATGTCCGTAGGAGCCATCGCTGATGATCACTTGGTGCTCAGGGATTCGCATCTGCTGATACACATCTTCAACGCGCGGACAACAAACATCGCCGGCGTCATCGTCTACGAGAACGACGAGGGTTTCATATCGGACGCGGAGATTTACCGCAACACCTCGTTGGATAAAGCTCTGCAGATTGGCCACTTTAAAGCGGCCGCTTACATGCCCGAAGACCTGCTGGAGCAGATCATCGCGGACGTGCAAAAACCGATAGTTGCCGTCACTGTGTTCCTGAAGGATGGATTGTTCGCGCTGCGGGATCAGAGCTTAGGAGAAGTCGTGTTCGGCGTCATCATACCGGACTTTCGTGGCAAGTTCGTGACGCCCATGAAGCTGGCTTTCAAGATCGCCGAGGGCGATAACAGAGAGAAGGATTGTGCACATTGGATCTACAACGACGGTATGACGAACGGCAAATGGGACGAAGGGCAGGACAGCAACGTGTGCGGTGCAGTCGAAGTGTGCGAGTACTACGAGGTCACGCATTCGGGAATGCTTGTTTCCGGCGGCGATGATGACCGGAAGAAGCACAGGGATGCCCTTGAACTAATCACGTTCATTGGATGCAGTCTGTCCTTCGTCAGTCTGCTGGGCATTTTCATCACAGGCATTCTCTTCAGCAAGTGGAGAGCCAACAAGGGTAATATAATCCTGCTCAATTACGCGCTGGCAACTCTTTTCGAGATCATCACCATGTACGTCTCAAAGTACTTCAGAGAGACGGCCCTCTGCGACAAGACGTGGTGCTTTGTCAGCGGTCTTTTCTTCCATTACTTCGTCCTCGCCCAGTTCTTCTGGGTGCTGATCATCTCATATTTGCAATACAAACGCTACGTCCAGATTATTGGAGTACCCACCAACAAGTTGATTCTTAAATCGTGTCTGATCGCATGGCTCGGACCTTTGCCCATGATCATCCTGCTGTGCTTCTTCTTCGACGGCAACTTTGTCAACAACAATGCCGACGTCTGCTATCCCTCCGGCTGGCCGCTCTACGTTGCGCTGATTGCTCCCATCGTCATCATCGTCCTCGTCAACTTCGGAGTCTTCGCCATGATCCTCAAATCAATCTTCCACGACAACATGGAAATACCGAGGCTGGCGGACAACGTGATGATCCTGCGCGTCCGCCTCGTCTTCCTGCTCTTTTTCCAGCTAGGTCTCTGCTGGATATTCCTCTTCCTCGGAAAGATCAGCATCGTCTTCACCTATCTCTTCGTAATCACCGCCCCGAACCAAGGCGTCGTCGTTTTCTTGCTCTTCATCGTCTTCAACAGAGCCAGCAATCAATTCTACAAGCAAATGTGCGGCTGCGACCCAAAGAAATTCAACGGAAGAGTACAGGAACCATCAACGCGTTCCACATAATCTTCAAAATCCATCACAATGGATCATTAAAAATCTCAAGTATATACAAATTATGAACACTACAGTTAATCCGGTTGCATACCGCAATTAATATAAACTATTTATTCCTAGATTAAGTTTTAATATTATACGCATTACTAGATATAATTCAATAAATCTAAAATATTTTTGAACCTACATAATTTTAAACGAAACAATAATTTATATTATATTAAATTATGTAACATTCGTTTCACGCACAATTTCGTAACTCTGTATCGGAAACAATGTCAAATGTCAGTGATGATATTGGCGTTGAAGTTTAAAATTATGCAATCCCTTCGTATATCAAAACAAACAAAATATTATCGAGTTTCGCGCGACTTTCGTCTTTGCTCTTCTTTTTTTTAGCATGTGACAATGTGACAAAAATCTGCAAATTGCGTCAGCGTGAACTCAATTTTAATTAGGATCGCTCGCAATCAAATTCATGTGTACCAACATATATACATTCGTATTTTTTTTATAACCTTGCATCAATCGGATTAATGTTTAAAACACATTCTAGAGTTGTGTGAAAAACCACTTAAAAGATAGCAAAATGACTTAAAGTGTGAAAAACTGTAGTTTTTTTTTTAATAATTTGAAATTCTATTATTAAATTGTTCACTTCACAACTTTAGGTTCGTATCCAACAAGTGAAAAGCACTTGAGAGATAAATGTAGTGAATTATTAATAATTAATTTATACTTTTAAAATTTTCGATTAATACTATTTTCTTTTAAGAATTTTTCAACTTCTCTGTGTGTTCTTCTAAGAGTGCTTTGTAATTTGTTTTGATGGTAGTCGGAATGTTGGATGTAATCATGATAATGGTGTTGCATATATCTATTACCTTTTGCGATCTTGTAGGCATGATCATGATCGACCTTGAGGCGATCGATCATCTTGTCGAGGGCGACGAGACCGGCGGCGGCCACGATTCCGCACTGCCTCATGCCTCCGCCTAGGGCTTTCCTGTACCTCCTGGCCCTGCAAACACAAATAGAAACAACAATTATCGAATCAATCCTGCGAGCGTGCAACACGCGAATGCGGTCACTCGAAACTTACATAGCAGTAAAAGACTTGGTGCCGCAGAGCAAAGACCCAACGGGAGCGCCCAACCCTTTGCTCAAGCAGAAACAGATCGAATCCATGTCCCTAGCAATACGACTTGGGGGCAGCTTAGATGCGACGGCTGCGTTCATCACCCTCGCGCCGTCCATGTGCACCGGGATCTGGTGCTGCTTAGCGAGCATCGACAGCTTGTCCAGCCATTCGATGGGCAAAACCTAGAAGACAGAATAATTAAACGAAATATTAGAGAATGTTACATACAAAAAAAACATTTTTTTATATTTAAAAACAGCTGCAACATTAATATGTTGTCAGGTTTACCATCAATATACATAAAATGCCAACTCTCCGGAAACTAGTTAGTAACTAACTATAATTGAGATTTGTTTTATTTCAATTCATATCATTTTTATTATTACCAACGTAATTTAATCAAATGACGCGCAAGAATGACGCTCTTTAAATTGCGATAGAGATTGATAGAATTTGTTACTATCTGCCTATATTTTTTTTTAAACTGTCGTTATATAATTTATATATATATATATAAAAAAAGATTAGAAAAAAAAATATCATTTGGTGATACGCGATAAGACATTTTTGGATAAAACGGTTTTAAACTAAACTTCTCGCGTTTTGAAGTTAAATAATAATGTATACAATAATTGCCAACTCTGATGAAACTAATAGGGGATTTTTTTGTTTTAAATTAAATTAATCAAATAATCAAAAATAACAACAAAAAAATGTATAGTTTCTTGAAACTTCAGGAAAAGTCAGCAATGGAATATTACTGTTAAAGTTTAGAGGTCGGATGGATCACGAGATGCAAATGACGTGGGGGCTCGTTACCTCACGTTTTTTTTTTAAATTTACTTTATGATTAAGTCTAAATTATCTCTGCTGATAAGGAAGGACAATTCCGGCTTTCGTTCGAGTGCGTTACGCAACACGTTTTCGTGCGTGCCAATTGGTTACGCTTCCCGATTACAGACGAGGATGCAGGACGTTCACGATGATGATGATGATGATGACATGTGTCCGAACAACCAACCCACAAAAAAAAATGTACAGTAACCGATAACAAGTGGTTCAGTCGTAAAACTCGCTTCTCATTCGCACTTAATATAGGCAGATTACGAGTTAGATAACTCGCCGAAAGTGTTGACTCAATGCCAAGTTCACGATAAAAATAGTCTTCTTTCGTTTTTTCCCTGCCTGCTCGTTCCGGCATTGAATTGATTGACGTTTCCTCTGACCTGTGCCAACACGGCCTACTCGGTGTGATCGAACTCGCGCCTACTTGCCAATTATTTCTGTAGTTTTATACATTCTGGTACGCGCACAAAACGACATTTGCCAATAGACTTAGTATTAATGTTGATGATTCTTACCTTTCCTCCCTTCATGTTGTGCGTGTTCTCGACGACGATCAGCGAGGTGATGGGCTCGTGGCAATCAGGGTCGATGCGGATCTTCGACCTAACTTCGTCCAGGTCAAAGGTGCCGTCCTCCTGAGTTTTCACCAGCGCGGACTGAACTCCGGCGATGAACGAAGGACCGCCTTGTTACCCAAAAGAAAAGCACACATTATTAAACAAACAACACTAGAAACAACCCAAAACTGCTCCAACTTTCAGAGAATTACAAGAATTTAGTCGTCTTACAACGATGCAAATCTTACCTTGTTCGAAGCGGAAAGTGTGTCCGTGGTCGCCGCAGATCAACTCGCTGCCTCTTTGTTTGCAATGGATCATAACTGAAAGAAAAAAACAAACGAAATGTTAATAAACTTGTATTTGTACATTATCTGTTGGTAATAATAATATACTTAGTTTCTAAACAAATAAATCAACTATAATCCCCTAATATTGAATCTCAATAACAATAATAAAAATTAGCATCAAAAATAGAAACAACAATTGGTTTTTTAATTATTTGTAAAAAAAAATATAATTGTTGCGATGTTTTCACACGTTTATTTAATGTATTTATAAGTAATTTCCATGTGAGAGAGATTATTAAAGTACAGGTAAATTAGAACGTTTTCTTTGCAAAAAAGGCGATCGAAGAGACCTGCCAAAGTGACCTGAATAATTCCCACAGCAAAATTATTCAAAAAAACCTTGCACGCGCTCCATTCCCCAGTAAAACCTTCATTACAGAATCAACCACATTAAATATTGCCAACATGAAAATTATACACCCGACAACCGGCAATTTCCCAGACAGCCGCCGTAAGTCGTTAATAAACAATCAATTCGAGGAACCGTAAATTTTTAACAATTAATTCTAAATTTAAATCGTACAGTTGTTACATTCGTTTTATTGGCAAATAAAATATGCGAATATTAAAAAGGAACTGCCAAACCGAAAGTGACCAGAATAATAAAAAAAAAAGTTAGTATACATTAAATCAAATCAAAATAAAATAAAACCGTACACGCGCGTTCACAAACATTAAAATTGAATAGAATTTGTCGTTTGAATAATAGAAATGAGAAATATCAACAGCGATATAAATTCTTAAGGAAAACACAGATTATTATTATTAATAATAAGCAGCAACTAATTATAGATCATAAATATCTCAACTTCTCGATATCCATTCACATCAATTACACAATATATTTACATCATCCCGCTGCACACTGAAATGCGTCATTTTATACATTGTTCAACAATTTTCGCCTTTTTTTTTCTCTAAATCGCGACAGCTAGTTACAAAATTTCAGTTGGCATTTCAGGCTGCTGACATCAAGGAAGTCGAAATGTACGTCGCTCACGGACGTCTAAAACAGGAATTTTTTGTGTTTTTTTTTTGCTTCTCCCGACAAAAATATAAATATTTATATACAAAAAAAAAAAGAAGACGAGTCCCTCTATTCAATACGCGAGTATTTTTAGAGCGCAGACGAAATTGAAATCGTACGATAGTCGAGTCACGAAAATAGACAACTTTTTTATATGTGTGTGTGTTTCTTTTGTCGCATAAAGCCCGTTTTTTTTTTCTTTTCTTTTCGTCGAAACTCAATGTCAAGTTTAATTTTCCGCATTCGATCGCGTAATAAGTATTCAAAATATGTACATTCACTCTTCTCTTTTTATTGTTGTTACATTTTCTAAGGTCGTCGGTATTTGCATTGAAATCGAACCGAACGTAATTGCTTCCTAGTTATGTAAACCAAGTAATCAACACAAAGAGATAGATATTTGCTTTTGCTTTTAACAAGTTTCCTTCCAACAAGAAATCAAACAACTTGAAAATTGGATAATACTAATGTCATACGATAAACGTCAAATTGACAGTTTGCAATTACAACACTCGATTGATAGATGCGTTGTAAATACCATGGAAACGCACGAAATGCGTGTATGTTACGCAACAAGCCTACTATAATTTTATTTTTTTTTTCCGAAATAAATAATCAACTATATTAAGATGATTAATTTGTTGATAGCCGCCGAGTTTCTAAATACGCAATGCTCTGCGTAAATACCGATAGATTTGTGCAGCGCGTGCCCAAATAATTGCGCGGAATCGAAATCAATCATCGATTTGTTTTTGTTTTCGCTGCGTTACGCAACTTCTTCCCTTAACAACAAGAACAACAACAAGAACAAAACAAGCAAATTATTTCCTGTGTACGGAAATCGCGAAGGTTTTACCGTTGACGTCAATTTGAAATAATGAAAGCGGCAGCGAAATCAATCAATCCTTATCTAGAAAATATCATCGCTCTGTTTCTATTTGCCTCATTAAACATACGCTAATTGCAACTCTTGTTGTTAAGCATTGTTGTTGTTTTTAATCGGCATTGGAAACATGCGGCGATCTCGAAAATAAACGTTTCGATGAGCATGTTCGCAATTAATCGAAATTTGCAAACATGGTGATATTTCTTTTTTTCTATACTCGACAGATAAGAAGAGCCCCCACGCTTTCGTTGAATTACATAAGTTGAGAGAGATGGAAAATAACGTACGATGATGATGTTATTATTGAAATTAATTAGCAACTGTTATCGGTCAACAACATTTTCGTAACATCGATACGCGTTGTTCAGGCGATCTCTTTTCAAATGGATTAGAGTTAAACGCGCGACAAGGAAAGAAAGACACAGATAAATATATAGGAATTACAAGAGAATCGCGTGACCGAAGAATGAAACCCATCGTGCGGATCGATTGCACCGAGAATATACTCAACTATTGAGTAACCTGAATACGTGCACATATAATTTCAAACCATTTGAACGAAGAAACGTGTAATTAGATTTGAACTAACCTACACTTTGATTGAGAAAGAAAGAATAAATTCTCAACATCCAATTTATCTAATGTTACATATTGCAATATTGCAACAAAAAAAATGAAATAACGTGAACTACTTCAACTATAAATAAAATTGATAACTACAACGTGATAATTAAAAATGGTAATCGGAAAACACTATAACTATAGGGCCAAACTATTGAATTATCCTTTTAGTCGCCTTTTACGACAAGCAGGATATACTTTGGTCGTATTCTTTGCCGCAGCCCCACAAACCAAAGGGCTAAACGCATCACAAAATTTAAAGTTTAATTATTCAAATTACAAGTATGAGAATTAATTAAATGGAAATTCAGTGGAAAATATATACTTTTAGAATCGATTTCGTCGAAGTCTTATAAGATATGATACACATCCAATTGACGTGTAGTGTTTTCGTATTGAGGGCAAGCGACCAAAGAGAAAACCATCTAGTTTTAGCTAAAATTGCAAACAATTATACGGCTTCAATAAAAGGAAATAACAAATTGTATCAATTACAATTAATCAATAATATTGAATCATTTCTAATTTCATTTGATTTCAATGTCTCTCAACTCTAAAATAATTTAAAGAAGTTTGATAAATCAAATCATAATTCATATAGTATAATTAACAAGTTTTATAAATAACAAATTTAATATAAATTACTAATCAAAATTTCCATAATTCACACATTAATACATTATATTGAAGCAATTAAGTGTACATCTGTTGTTGCATTTATATACATATATAATTTAAATGCAAATTTAACTTATTTTTGTGCAGCATATTAAAACTTGATTACAATTGTTAGTTTCTGTAACATCAAATAGTTACAGAATTAAAAGCAATAAATATATAATTACTTTAAAAAGTTGGCTTTTCAATATTGATGCAAGGACAGTTGACGAACTCTTATACAACTTTGAATTTTATTTGCGGTTAGCAAATTACATGTGTTTGCGTCGATATGAAAGCAAGGATAGTTGCAGAAATCGTATCAAATAATTGAAATAAGTATAATTTGAGTGCTTTAATCAATTAAGTTCGGATAGCACTACTTGGTAATTGGCAAATACTTAACGAGTATAACCTGTTGCGAGGTTTCGATTTGTACGGTTGGTAGTGATTTGAAAAGAGAGTTTGTGTAACACAAGAAGAGGACTTACTTGCAAGGAGATTTGCCATGGTACCGGAGGGTACGTAGACTGCATCCTCTTTGCCCAAGAGTTCGGCAGCTCTTCGCTCCAGCTCGGTGACGGTGGGGTCCTCGCCGTAGACGGAATCTCCGACCTCGGCCGTGTACATGGCTTCGCGCATCTCCTGCGTGGGCTTGCTGATCGTGTCGCTCCTCAGGTCGACGACGTGCACGTCGCCGAACCCGTTCGTGTAACCGTTGATGAATTTATAGGACATCTTCCTCAGCAGTTTGCTTTTTTTTAAATACTAGCTCAAGCCGATCTGTGCTCTGAAAACACTTGGAAAAAGAGCCAGGAAACAGGGAATGTAATAATAGTAAGTTGAGTGTGTGACTCGTGCGGAACAAGTGTCCTCAATGGAATGAATGCAGTTGGATCTGTGGATCGTTCTGCGATGGATGCGATCTACGGCAGACGTCGCGCCGTCCGTCCGCTTATATTGATGGGGGGCGACGCGCGCGCCTCTACCGCCGCCCGCGACGCACCCCCACTTGCGCGCCAATCGCACAACGGCTAATTATAATCGTACGATTCTGTTTCGACAGATTGGGTCACTACAGATTCACGCACGCATATCCTCCCATACCCATATCTCATCTTCAATCACTTTCCTTCGCTCCTTATCTACACTTGCTCACCTAACTAATCTCCATGTCTATAGCGAAGAAGCACTTCTTTTCGCTCCTCAGCCAGATAGATAACGACGAGACGAGATGAGATGGCCCCAGCAACACGAAAAACTGACGGTGAAAAACTGACATGACGCAACCGTCGCTCACTTTGTGTATTTCTCTTGATCAACAACATCCGAAGCGAAAACAAATCACCAACTTTCGCAACACCGTCCAACTGCAAGAACAAACATAAATAACATTATTAGTTTTCGCCTTATTTTCAATATGCATAAAAAAAAACACACATTTGCAACTTGTTTATCTCATCAAATTAATTAAATTGATGATTATGTGAGAAAACAAAAAGATTTTATTAGCAAAGAATAAAAAAAAACCGACGAAAACAAGAAATCGTATTAAGTAACTTGTCAAGTATCAAGTGAACTTTTAAAAAGATTCGTATAAGTAACTTTGCAAGTATCGCGCAAACATATCTAATTTGAAAAAAATATATTTGTTAATTAGTTGGTAATAGTTTTAGGAACCTAATTTCCTATAATGCCTTATTAACGAATTATAGTGAATACCGAAAGGCATTATCCTAAAATTATTTTTCAATTTAAATTTCAAATAAGTAAAATATTCTCCGAAAAAAGAAACTTTCGCAATTCATTGAACATAAATAGTAAACACTAATGCAAAAGTGTACAGCACAAATTGAAATAAACTTGGCACACATATTGCGAGCAACGCGCAGATATGCAACCAAACGCTACTAGAAATTTCACGGGTTCATATGATAAGCAAAATGCTTATGCAACCACAGAAGCAATTCATTTCTTCAATAAATTCGAGCTATTAAAAAAAACACTTGTTATTACATTCATCAAACAATGCCTTTATGATTTAAAATAATCAATTAAAATGTAATAAAAATAATTAAGTTTGCTTAATATTAAATTTTGGATTTTAGATGGCGCTCGCGTTCAAGTCGCGTTAATCAATCGATAAGGACTAAGGTCAATTTAAATAAAACAAAAATGTATAAAAAAATAATTATGATACACTTTGAGCAACCGAACGAACAATAGTTTCTTAACAATTTCTTAAGAATTTCATAATTTTCTGAAGAGTTGCAATATTTGGAATAATCCGATGTAAACATTTCGAATTGACGTCTATTTGGTTTTTGTAAAAACATGACGTACGTAAAATTAATGCTGTTAGTTTTATCTGCGACATTGAACAACATCGTTACATTAGATTGTTCAATCAATATAACAACGTACATCGTTCAATCATAGAAATTAGAGACTTAATGATTGATAACATTGTAATATTGTTATGTACATGTTATATATTAAAAAACAAAACAAATGCAATGTAGAAAGTTGACACTAGATTTACGTGCATTATAAAACACTTTTTTTTACTAATTTATTTGATTAATAAATCATTTTCGTCATTGTCTACAGTTTAGTTATTAGATAACTAACATTTCTCTTTCAATGTTTGAAGTTAAAAGTAGTTATTAAGATTAATAACAGGTTTCAATTCTATAGGACGACGACTTCATTGTCCGCATTTTACCGATTGAATTGTTTTTCGCAGCAGATGTTGCTTGACCCGATGTGAATGTATCTAAAGTGATTACGCTCGTTTACGTCCCATTTTCGTGCCGACCAGAGGAAATTATACGTTGTGGCACTTCTTGCTTCCCGAGAAAATGCAAAAATCCCCAACGGCATGTCCGGAGTCATCTCTTTCTCCCATGCGAATAGCAATGCATAAATTTACGCTGTTTTCTTTGTTTTTCGACTTGGGAATTGATTGGCATCTCTTTCCCACACACACACAGCTAGAATACATAGATGTGTGTGTGGGTGGGAAAGGCAAATGATTCATCGGTGAAACACAACCCCGGACCGAACGGGACCGAAGGGGGCGGTTCGTGCGACGCCAGGTCGCGGCGGCGGGGGTGGGCGTCGCGGCGCAAGCGTCGAACCGGCGATATTGATTCCGTCGCGCGCGCGCGACACACACACACATACACACACAACACCGCCGGATAGGAAGGACGAGAAGCGAAGAGAAGAGAGAGACGACGACGATACCTTCTTCATTGAGGAGGGCGCTCGTGTTATTTCTTGTATGTGTATGTGTGTGTGCGTCCGCTTCGTTCCCACCACCACCGAAGAGGCCGAAAGTGCTGATAGTACCATCTGATTCGAGTATCCATCCATCCATCCATCAGACACATCCCCCTCGACATCGACATCTCTCATCAGCGGTAAAGTTCGCATTTCGAGTGCGTCGTCGTGTCGCCGTCTCAAGTTGTTATTATTACTATTATACCGTACACATTTCTGTTTCTTGTGATTGCAAAAAAAAAAACCACCCATCCACCCCTTACATACAGACCAAGGAAACATAAAGAGAAGAGAGGAGTTTAGCGCCTGCTACGAGAAGATGGCAGAGGATGGACCAGAGATCAAAGCGATCGAAACGGGTGAGTGGTGCAGCAAAAACAATTGACCGTCAAAAAAAAAGTGACATTTCGGCCGCCTTGATTTTCGACTCGGCCAATGTCCGAGAAAACATCGATTCTTATGGCGCTTGTTTTCCTTTAATATTATTACATTAACAAATAGATCAATTATTTAGAGCGGAGACGCGAAGATGAATCACTTTCGTGACGCGGATCGCAAGAAGTGATCGGATCGGAAGGGCGCAATCAATTAATATCGCATTACTATCGATTTTATCTTAACAGACGTTTCTGCAAAAACGACTAATTCAATTTGAGACACAAAAAAAAAACGAACATGTTTTCTCCATTATTTCTCAACTTTTTTTTGGGGGGGTATGAAATAATGAAGTAGATGGAGGACTCTTTTTTTTTAAAATAGCTTCGAAAGCCTTTCGGACATCCGCGATCGATTCCGACGAGGAGAAAAGACAGACACACACACATACTAGCGAACACCTCGGGAGATGAGAAAAAAGAGGCGAGAGAGAAAGGGAGAACGTGTAAAACATCGACCACGGCAGGATCTTTAATACATCAGGTCACGAAACAGGATGGGGGGGAGGGGAGATAGTAAAAACGAAAATTGGCAATCATCCCTGTATCCAATAACAACCGTAAGGCGGATTCGTATTATGTAACATATCAATGATGACGACCGGTTGCTTAGAATATAATAAACATCGTTTGGAAAGGAATTATCAAACACAAAATATTGTAATAAGAAAATCCGAAATTGCGAAAATGACGCAAATTCGGTGCGCGAAACAGGGTGAATTTGGAGGGGTTGACTTCTGGTGACGAAACTTATTTCGTTCTCAGAGGGGAGGAGGAAATTAAGTCGCAAAGAGAAAAGCGAAATGCGATTTCCTTCCGAAAGTTCGGATGTTTGAAATGTTTCAAAGAGAGATATTAAAACTGGCAGACGCAATGCGAGCGTTTCGTAAAAGATTCGAGAATAAATTGAATGAGAAGATGTCAACGCGAAGTAAAGCGATGGACTAATTAAAAAGAAAACGAAAGCGAGGTTTTCGAAACGGTTCTCGCTTTGCACTCGGAAAATATGAGAGGACAACTTATGGCGTTTAGCGCTCGTAATGAAATGCTAATTCCTTTTGCCGTTGTCGTCGACGCTTCCATTAAGCTCCGACTACATGGAATTAAACGAGGAACAAAAATGCGCGGAATTATTATTCCTAACCGGATTACAACTGCTCGGAACGCAGACAAGCGGATTTCATGAAATCCACGAGAATCGTAAAACTAAGAGCTAATAAGACAATATTTAGTCTTAATTTTGACTCAATGGTTGATGAAATGATAACTGTATGGAAAAAACATATATTCCACTCTTTCTGAAAACGTTATGGTATTTCATTGAAATTGCCCCGCGGACATATTTCAATTTACTTTACGTTCCTGCGATATCCGCTATATAGGAGTATAGCAGCCTACCCCACGGTCGGGCATGTAGATGTGCATCGTATATTGAAATGGGGCGGGCGGTTCCATCGAACGCGGAAACGTTTTTAGTGGGTGCTAAAAGCGAACGCCGCGAGACGGCGGAGCGAAATGGGGAAAGGGAATCCCGGATATTTATGCTGCAAATGAAAGCTTCAACCCGTGTCCCCGGGAATCCCCCGGCCTAATGAGACCAAAATTTGGATCGTCGGCGGTCGTGTTTATGTCCCCCCAAAACTGTGCCCTAATGACTCCACCAAATTGCACTCAATCATTTACTAAACACAAACGGGACAGAAGGTACGTTTACACGCTCTCCAGATTTATGGTGGATGCGCCGGGCATGGTAATTTTACTTATCCAATTAATTTTATTCGACAATTTTGTGTATTAAATTTCAAACGGTTTGCGAAAAAAATAAGTGCTTTCGAAACTTTTTAACGCAAATTTATGCGCCGTGCAAGAGTATTTTATCGATTGGTAATTAAAATAAATGCGCGCCCTTTTGACGCCGGTAGATACCCGAGGAGTCACGTTCGAAGAATGGTTACAACAATGTATAGAGAAACACGAGTGAAACTAAATGGCAGTGCGCTCGAATGCATCGACAAAGTGAACGACGAAAATAGATTCGTTTCTTTGTTTGCGAACTAATTGATTCTGCAGCAAACTTCAAAATTGCAAAATTGCATACGAAAATACATAAAAGACATGAAATCAATACGAAAAACTTGTAATGGAAAAAAATTGCGTATGCAAGAAACGCAAATGAAACGTGATTTCATTGAAGTCACATTGAATAATTGAACAGAGTCGTGTAATTCGTAGAAACTAAATTGGCAAAGCACGTCCTACGTATGCGTTGGAAATGCGCTTTGAACAGCGTCGACAAAGGACTCAGTTGTTTGGAAACAATCGCTTCGACGGTGAATCTATTTGAATGGAACGAAGTTGAACTGATTCCGTTGACTTTTCGCGAACGCCAAAAGTTCTGATTTTGAAAATTGAAGTATTTCAAAGTAAAACACACAAATAGAACTAAATGGATTACGGAGACATCAATTAAAATTATGATATAGTGAGTTTTGGAAACAATATTTGTTAATATTTTAACACAAATTATTAATTAAAATAAACTTACATTTAAAGTCATCTTTAATTGAAGGAAGTCTCAAGTCTCGAAAATGTAGCTAAACTAATCGAACGAAAATGCGGCATAAAATCACGTTTACAAAGAGAGCCTTAAAACAAAACAAACACAATTATCTAAGTTATTTTACTTACCAAATCTGTAATAAATAAATATACATTTTAATAAATAAAATTGAAAAAAACTTATTCTTAATAAAGTTTCGTTGGAATATAGTTCATTACCATTTCCCCGTTTTATATGCGGTTTGCTTAACGGCGAACGAAACTCCTTCGACTTTCTTTTTTTTTGGTAACTGTAAAAGGCAGTAAAAGAACCCGACGAATTGACGTCCTTAAATATATACGCGACTGCAATTTTATTACGGCACAGACACGAGCATGTGTGTAAGTTACTATTTTTTTTTTAGTATTATTACGTTACGGCCCTGCGCGGGTTTACTGCTCCGCCGTAAAAATGGAGAAGAGCAGATGGAAATAATAATAAAAAAATGGGCTCACCTAATGCAATTCCGCCCTTAATCCGCACATAAATTAATTCATTAACTTTTTTCCCGGATGTGCGCAACCGAATTTATTTTCTTTTATACATATATTCGCTTGAAATTGCAATTTGAGAGAACTCACCGGCTTTAGATGAAGTGAATGGCGATTAACCCCTAATCCGATTATCGTATACAACCATCGATTTAATATTTTTTTATGATTGAGTTTTCCGCGAAAGTTGTGTAATTACTTTGGGAAACAACCAATGGATGTAGGCAACCAAGCGAACTGGTTTCATTTAATTTAAGCCAATTCTTGCTCATTAGCAATCGGCCAGAGATGAGCCATCTCGTAAATTGCTGTAACTTAGTTCGCGCTACCCAAGAAAATACCGGTAATAATTTAGGTTGTTAACTATTGAGTTGATGTTCCTCTTAGTCTGGTCTCTAGCTCATGTCTGGGGGGAATCCCCGGCGCAAGAGGTCATCGAGACACGCAAGCTCCTCCACTACGTCAAAGTGGGAACATCGCCGGAGGAGTTGAAATAAATTATGTATGCTATATATATGTATATAATAGGAGACAACGAATACACTCATTGCATTTCCTCTATTTAGGATCAACCTCTGGCATTCCAGATTAAAGCGAATGTTTTCTAAAAACATCTGCGGAAACGCAACGCTCTTCCGCTAATTAGATTTACTTAATCACGATAATTGCGAGAGCGCTGCGCTATTTATAAAGTATACGGTTTCCGATGCTGTTTGCATACTCGCTTTAATTATTACTGAAAAGCGGAGCGAACTTTTTGTTGATTCGCCGCCGGTGGCGAACGAGAGCGAAAATGCGAGAGAGAGAAAGATAAAATTGGACCAAAAAAAAAATATGCGACAAATGTGCGAACTTCATTAAAGTTTATAGGCAACCTACGAGACCGCATCCATAATTTAACGACTAACGACCGAATTTTATCCACGTTAAACTTTCAAAACTCGTTCAATTATTATTAGTTTTCTACATCGCTCTTGCGGCCGTTCCGCAATGCCGATAAATCATGTTGAATAATTTATGAATACGTCTAATAAATGAAACTTTTATATATAATAAATGCCACAATATTTATCCTTAATTGCCGCTATCCACTTAGTATAAATTGAGTGGAGAATTAAGATGATTCACTGCGATTCCTTCCTTAAATAATGAATTTATTATAGCGAATTACTTAGCATGGTAATGGGGATTATATACTAAGTGTTATTTTACAAACAAGCAAAGAGTATATAGACTTATTGCGTCGCAGTTACGAAGGTGGTATAAATATAAATAGTGGATGCGCCGGGCTTCAATTAAAACTTATTTACAATGTGGAATTAATTAGTGATCCATTAGCAATCAAAACTTTTGTTCTAAAAATAAACGTTAAAAATAAAGTAACAAATGAAACGCTTACCATGTTACAACAAAAAATAATTTTGTTTTGTTTTCTGCAGCTGTGGATACGCCGTTAACTCTGATCGTAATATGCTTGGTGTCGGCTATTGTCTTGCTGTTCCTGGTAGCGGTGACATGCTTCTGCTACCGTCGTAACCGCCGTCTGCAGAACGGCAAGAGGCACGGGCCCGACCAGCCGTTGGCCTTCCACAGCCACAGGAGGCCGACGGCAGTCAAGAGCCCCGCTGGGACAAGCACCTCGCACTACCTGAAGAAGAGCCCCAGTCCCACCGGACCAGCTAGATCACCTCCTGGGGTAAGCACCATCCGATCGATATGATTCTAATAAAGAAAAGTGTTAACAAATGCAAAACATGTTTACATCAAATTTTGTTACAAACTTGTATCGCAATAATTCAACATTTTAAAAAATAACATCTTCTCCTTTTAGTCGCCTTTTACGACAAGCAGGAGTTACTTTGGTCGTATTCTTTAATAATCATTTGCCCCGAACCAAAGAGCAACTAATCTAACAAAATTTGAACAACATAGAAATTTGTCTCATTAAAAAAGATGAATTAATTTTACATCAATTACATTGCAAATGCTCAATTGTCAATCGAATTGAAGCCATTATTTTATGTCAACGTATATTTGTCTTTCGATGAACTGAACATTGCGCTCAGTTCGATTTTCCCATTTATTCTAGTTTTGTTTTGCTTTGCGAGGTTGAGAATTGCATAAATTATTTCGTATTGATTCGAAGTGTTACGTTGTTGCATGCCAACCACCAACCCCCTTTCCTTCTCCAAGGCTGAGTAGCAGCAAACAAGCAGAAGAAATATATGTAGAAACAATTGTCATGTATCTCTCAAAATCGTCTGTTGTTATCTGAACAGGATGATGAAATCGATTACATAAAACTACGTATTCTTTTTTTAAATAGCACGTGCCTCGTGCGCCTTATCTTTTTCTATCATCTTTTTATGACATGTCATTATCTTCAAGTTAAAAATAATGATCATAATTTCATTAATATTCCAATTAGAATATGATAGTTTCAAAATTTAACGCTTTGATAATAACTATTGTAAACGATTATAATACTTGTTGTAGATGTCTGGACATAATACTCCTAGTCCGACAGGGAGTATGCATGGCGCTCTGGAGGCAGGTGTTAATGGTAATATGGGGATGGTAGAGCCTCTGCCGATGCCTCCAAAGAACGTCTTCACCACGGAATCGGAGATACACTCTCCCAGCAAGGAAGAGATCGAAACCAACGAAAAGAACTTGGAACAGAGCGCTTCATATCTCGGTCAGCTCGTATTTAAGCTCAGGTATGAACAATGGAAACGATAAAAGTATTGGTGATGGTAAAACTCACGTTTCTTCAGATACAAGCACGACAAGAACGCGCTGATCGTATCGGTGGTGCGATGCCGCGATCTTCCTGCGAAGGATCCGAACCTGGGTTCGAGCGATCCCTACGTGAAGCTGCAACTGCTACCTGATAAGCAGCACAAGGTGAAGACGCGCGTTCTCCGCAAGACCCGAAATCCCGTCTACGACGAGGACTTCACCTTCTACGGCATCAATTTCAATCAACTTCCTGCGATTACTCTGCACTTCGTCGTGCTCAGCTTTGACCGTTACTCTCGCGACGACATCATCGGGGAGGTCTTCTGCGCCCTCAACACCGTCGACATCACTCAGGCCGAGAACCAGCAGATGGCGTTGTCTCGTGAGATTCAGCCAAGGAGCTTAAAAGTGAGTAGCGATACCCAATAAAAAAAAAATGCAAGCAAAAACAGAAGGGAAAGACACAAAAAAACTGAAAAAAAGACAAGAATCGATTGTTATTATTTATAGTTAATATATTTTATGGACAAGTACACAGACCACACACAGCCACCACCACCCTCCCCCCTATGTCTCTTTGAAATATTGTTTGTGAACCTGACCTCCCTTCACGACACGACACCCCACCTACCACAACACCGACATGCAAACACCCACTTTAGGCTTTTTCACTACCTCTCTGTACTCTCGTAAAATTTGTAACGCTACTATATTATATATATAAACACACATACATATATGATATGGAAGACGAAGGAATTCTAAAGAAAATATACGTTTGTTTCTAAATTTGGACTATCTCTCTATCCATCTCTTTGGCCTCTAAATTAGTTATTTAGTCACCTTCACCTTCATCACCTAAGTTAGGGTTGCCACACGCAAAAGTTGTCCTTGCTAGAAAGTAATTTAGTAAACATTTGCATTCATTTGTTAAAATTTGTGTAACGTTGCGAGTTGAAAGATTGATATTATTAGGGCACAAAATAACAACTGGCGATAGATGATTGTGGGTGGTTTCACTTTATTAAAATCGAATAAAGCTTTGATGATTATAATGTATTAGTAGTGGGTAGAAGGAAGGTTGTGTGGATGAAGCAAAGTGTCAAAATGGGGTATATTCGATCGGTGGTGGATGGGGTGTGGCAACCCTAACATAAACGATCGGGCGAGCGTTTTTGTTGCAAAGAAAAAACAACAGAGCTTCCGTTTCTTCCGAATCATAAGGTTCCAAATAACGTTTTAATTTGTTAGATAAAATCGCAGGGGCGCGGCGAACTGCTCGTGTCGCTCTGCTGGCAGCCGGCCGCCAACCGTCTGACGGTGGTCGTCCTGAAGGCCCGAAATCTGCCCAAGATGGACGTGACCGGTCTTGCCGATCCCTACGTGAAGATATACCTGCTCTACAACGGTCAACGCATCGCCAAGAAGAAGACGCACGTGAAGAAGCGCACCCTCAGCCCCGTCTTCAACGAGAGCTTCGTCTTCGACATCCCCAGCGGCGGCGATGGTCTCGAGCAGGTCAGCCTCGAATTCCTGCTGCTCGACTGGGATCGCGTCACCAAGAACGAGGTTGGTTCTATCTTCTACCACTCGAAAGTGATCACCCAGAGCAAATTAAATCTGATCGTGCGGTTTTTGTTTCAGGTGATCGGAAGGCTGGACCTGGGAGGACAGAAATGCACGGGATCGGCGTTGCATCATTGGAACGAGGTGTGCAACTCGCCTCGGCGCCAGATCGCCGATTGGCACAAACTGCGCGAGTAAAAATAATGCGATCTTTGTTCATCGATCGATCATGGATCGGAAGATTACTTAAAGAAACGAAAGAAAAAAGAAACATACAAACAAAATCGGCACAAAACAAACACGTTTCTGATCGGTGGAAACGAAGCGACGTATTTCCCCATCTACCCTCTCTTTAAACATAATAAAAATATCTGTAATAAATGTAAAACTCACGTAACGAATATACAAACTAGTATATATATACATTGATATTTAAACGTAATAGCAACATATTAGTATATACAAATATACAATAATCGACTGTAAAGNNNTTCATCAAGTTATCACGAATATTAATATTATTAAAAGAAGTAATAGCTTGTTTGAAATGCCATCATGCCATCATTTAAATCAAAATTAGATAACTTATTCACCAAAGTTAAAGTTTATAATCTCGATAAAATGTTTGTTAATGATACACAAAGTATAACCAAAATAGCTATAAGTAAATGTGTTATAGAATCAATTAGAAATAACTAATAAAAAGTTACTAATTTATAAAAATAACTAAACAAAATTATATAAACGAGTTTCAAACATACTCGGCTTCACGATTTATACAAATTTCGTTTACCCTGAGACGCGCGCCGAATTTGCTTAGAATTTAGCTTTCTCGAACCACGAAAGAAATAAAACAAACATGATATACAAAAATATAACTCAAACAGCTAGTGTACTTAGTTTTAAAGTAGTTTAAATGTAAATATCGATGGAGGAGAGGAGAGGAAGTTGATGTTTTCTCGTTAATTTTTGTTACCAACTTAAGATTATCGTAATTCTAATTAGCTTAAAAAGCGGCGACACCGAGATCGGAGCTTTTAACTGTATAAACAAAACAAACAGACACAGATTATATGAATATATATTATATATTGAAAGAGAGAAAAAAAAGAAGATATTTATGGACGGATTTCTTAAGTAGTTTGAAACGAGAATGCTCATTATAGCAAATAGTTTATTGAAAAGAATCAGTAGCTGAAGAAATATATTATATATACAAGAAAAAAGAATTATATATATTTTCGTTTTTATTTTTATAAGATGAAAAAGTTTAGTTTGCGTTTTATGAGAAAAAAAAATAATAATAATGCGGGAGAAGAGAGCTTTGGTTTCGCCACAGATTAAAATAAAAGAGAAAAGAATACAAGGGTTTGTGATATATAGGCTTAAGCAGTGTACCAAGTACCGATAAACAAAAAGATAAATTTCCGTTTCGTTCTCGAGTCTCGCATGAGTTTTGTTGTGCGTGTAAATAGATTTTCGATTGTTCGTAAATCTCGGAATACAAACTGGAATACGTCCTGCGATTGAGTGGATTAGCATGAATGGTATTTTCTTTTTTCGTTATTTCATTACAACTAGTACGTAGCGTGTAACGTGAACTCACTAAAGTAAATGTGACAAGAAAAAAAAAATGTCAGAAGTAAATATTGATACGTATATTATTAGATAGATTGATATGTAACGCTTATTAAAATGAATTTAAATGATAATCTAAATAAAGGCGAGATAAGTATCCTTTCTTAGCTGACGTTGCTATCATTGGCCGAAAAACTTAGTAATGAAGACACGATGGTTTGTTGCCGACGAACGCTCAAACCGGTCTCAGAATAAATATAGCTTAACGCACTTATTACGACTAATATTACTAATACTTACATTAATATTGATACTATCTACTTTAATTGTACCCTCTCTTGTTTAGCGGAATTATCTAACACACTTACGCCCCCAAATATCTAAATTATTGTACGTGTATATAAATATATTTGATTAATAAATGGTTTAAATGGTTTCCCTTCAAAACGTCTTCTATCCTATATTTAACGCATTTTCCAACTTATCTCCAATTAATTTCCTTGTAACAAAATACTACTATAAATCAACGTTCAAATGAATTGATAAACGAAAATAAATGATAAGAAAACACTACTTAAAATCGAGTTGCATAATAAATAAAATAAAAATATCTGAATGCAAATATTCATCTCCTTTTAGTCGCCTTTTACGACAAGTAAGGGACACTCTGGTTGTATTCTATTCCCCAAGCCAGAGGGCATTGCTTATGTATTATGTAATATTTTAATTTGAATAAATTAGTGAAATTTCAATTAATTATATTTCAATTATAAATGTATACATAATACTAAAACTGTTTACATTACTAATTTCTCATTTGCAAAAGTTCAAGAATTTAAATTGTCCACAATTAGGTTGTTTGTACGCCTATAATTTCCGTTGGATGGCGCCACAGTTTAATTTAACCGTTAATTTTAAAAATTCCAAATATATTTTAAACGCGCTTCGCAAAGTTTCCTATCAAAATACGTGCATAATTCAACGTATGTTAATTGGCTCGAGATAATGTTTAAACTTGCAAATAAATCGGCTGTTTGCGTGTGACTTTCCAAAAAGAAAATCTTCGCTGCGTAAAGATTTTATATTGTTTCGAGATATAAAATGTGTGTTTATAATTAAACTGTATTTACACACACGTGGTAGTAGTTCTGCCGAAAGGTAAAAAAATGTAATCGAAATCGTCCCTACCTCTTCTACATCACCACCACCACCTCCTCTCTACATCGCACTACGTATGTATATTTGTACATTTTTATTTCAAATTTAGAGCCAATTCGTTTTGCGAGTTTTCACACGCACAGCAGTCGTTGAGATAGATCCGGAGGACTTTATCTAAATCCGAGATAAATAAATATAAATATATCTATATATATAAGGTGGTGATAAGAGGAGGTCGCAAAGCACTCGAGATTACGTGCGATAACCGCGCAAACACCTGTTCACAGCTGCAGGTGTCGTAACGTCGTCATCGTCGTAGGTGTTGTGTTCTTGTGTATTCTGTGGTCGCGTGGTGGAGAGATGAGATGAGAGACGCGGTGGACGTCGGTACCGTCGTGTGAAAATAGTTGTAATGCAAAGATTGCCCGCGATTCAAGTGAACAGTGTCGCGATGGTTTCGGTGGAGCAAGTGGCAAGTGTCCAAGAGGAACACTCTTCCGTGGTAACAATGCGGAAGAGCAGAAGCGATACGTCCGAGGCCGGAAGCGATGCGTCCGAGAAGTCGAATTCGCACCACAGCCTTGGCAGATCTTTAAGATGGAAGCTTTCCAGGAGGTGGGTCAACAGAACCATCCTCATAAGATCGCGAAGCATAGACCCCGCTTACGGTGAGTTTGCATGCACACTCAAGGACGTTCTATTTTCGAACAATTTATAAATACGCACTCTTCTCCTTTCTTTTTCATCGTTTTCCGCGCGGAATTCTACATCTGTTTATGTCTCTCTTTTGCTCAGGTTCCAGGCGATCTGATGACGAGGCTGAAAAGGGACCGAAGGCCAGAAGGGCCGTCTCCATGAGTCCCTTCGCCAATAAACGGATTCAAATTCCGTGAGTTCTAATCGTTTACCTCAAATTTCACAATATTATTCAATTATAATTTTATCCAGGCACATATTAATAACAACATTTGTTTACAATTCTCAATTTTACAAACATTTTGAATGAATTCAACACAAAGTTATCTAAGTATCCTTTACATAAAACTCAGAATTGGCACAAACACAAGTATCTCAGCACATCCATTACTCCGCATAATTCCCGGCTTCATTTTAAAATAGTTAAACTAGTTTATAAAGTGTTGCAAATGCCTTTACAAATTATTTTTAATCACATTTTGTATATAAACATAAAAATTAATTAAAAATATATACTTAATGTAATTAACCTTGACATAAAAATAATAATTAGTATGCAATAATTTATAATAATATTTTTAAGTATGTCAATATTTAAACGATAAGCAACTTACGTAACTATTAATAATTATATATAGAGAACAAGACGTATATTTCTAAATAACTAGAGCCAATAATTTAGATTGTTTTTCTAAATAAAATTATGCCTTAGATTTAAAAAAATAAATATTTATATATACAATAATTACAATCATTCAACCTCCATAACCAATTTATTTAATGATAACGAGAGAATAATAGATATTGATGTAATAAAAAAAAACAATCAACAATATCTAAAAATAAACGAAATCATCAATTTGAATATAATAGCATAGTCACTTGCTATGAAATACTGTTTTCTAATCAATTTATAGAAGGACCTTTAAACATATTATAATAAAAAAAAATAGATAAAACCACAAACTTTGATTTTATGGCGCTAAAGAATTGCGATTGATGTCGTTTCCATGGTAACATGCAGTTATTTGGTAACGTTGCATGAGAATCGACTTCCACGGATGTAAGGAAAAGGGCCAGTCGGCAAGATGTGTTCGCGGTGAACGATCAAAACCAAAACAAAAACTTAAAAGACGCCTCCTATACGTAAGTCAAATTTAAAGTCAAAGTTAAACCATAGTAACCACTACACGCCATTGGTTTATATTGCTTAGCAACAAAGCTACAATTTAGTATCTCCCCTCGCACCGCAGTCGCTTAGACAATGTCAAGATCATTGTAAGGAACGTGCAGAAACCAAAATAAAAAAACAAAAATAAAAACACGCGCCGCACGTATCGATTTGATTCGAATGATTTAGTGCGATGGGACAAAGGTTTGCAAGGTACGGTGAAAATCGTTATTTCCGTCCAGACATTCGCTAAAATAAACCGCGGAATTTTATACGACGCGCCGTCCGTCCCCTTCATGTCATTCCCGACTTTGACACCGAACGTCCCGTGCAGCCGCAGGCGCTGCCAAAACGGATCGGATTTTACGAGGAAAACATAAACTCTCCGGAAATTATTTATCTGTTTCCATCCGGTTTCAATGACCTCACAAAGTTCCGGATTATCGCTAGTGCAGAATATTTCATACAAATGAAATTATTGTTTTATGTTTATGAATCTCTAAATTTAACTTAGAAAATTCAAAAGTATTACGTCCTTGCACACGGGACATCAAAGAAATTTATAATGCGAAATATCGAGAGAGAGAAAAAAATAACAAAACAATAACGGCAAAATGATGAATTATGAATCGACGTGTCCGTGAATTTGGGCCAATTTCACGGACCTCCCACGCAAATAGCAAACGTTGAATGAACGAAATTTTCTTTTGTTGCCTCGCCAACGGGGGAGGAGAGGAGAAAAACGGAATGTTTTCTTCAAGTAAACGCGAAATTGTTTTCGCTCGGAACCCATTCGTCCGTTTTATTTTCGAACCGACACAAAACCAGTCGCATTATTTTATTCATGGCCATTGTTGCTGCTCTCCATTCCACAGCACCTCTCGCCACCCACCCCCAAACCAAGCACCCACCCTCTTTCAGTGAATGTACGTATGTGTGTTATGCAGGAGTATGTAGCAATGTAAGGCCGCTAGTCAGAACAGTGAGATAGAGAGAGAGTGAGAATGGGGACGAGAACAAAGGGTGTGCGTATAGTGTTTGTGAGAGAAGGAGGAGGTGTTTTCAACGCCCGCGATTCTCCAAACCCCCAGAATTCATCTCTCGCGCACTGGATGGAATCAATAGTTGCGCGCGGTCGCAACCAACCACCATGGGCGTAGATGGGGAGAAAATGTTACGTTTCTAAATGAAGGAGTGCCTTTTTATCAGATTCCATGATTTTTTTTTGTTATTTGATAAATCACGTTTATCAACAATTCCAGTAATCATCTATTACTAAATATAGAAAACTATAAGGATTATATTTACTAAAATCAATTATGAAAACAAAGAAAAAAATGGTGGATGCGCCTGGTAGACGTAGTATTTTGTCGGACAATTATATCTATTAATAAAACAGGGAAAAATATATTTCCAATGTTAAATGAAACATGTCACGTATCAAGGAATGAAACATTAATTATTTGGGCAATTTCCTTGTAGGTAAATAACTTTATTTTTGTAGCAAAGTATCGAAGGAAATTAATGAATATAACAGGTCGAGTTCTCGATAAACACGTTTAATAATATACGTTCAGAACATTCCAGTATCAACAACCGAACCACCTCCACCCCGCCATGGTAACAGTTATCAATAACTAATTCGTTCGGCTCGTAATTATTGTTACATTAATTCCACTCAATCATATGCACACGCACATTTACGGACAGGACAACAAAGGACATTTATCAAATAATTGTACATTGGAGTGACGCTTCGAGTGACATTTGACGATCTCAACGACGAGCACTTTGAATAAATGCACAACAAACGACCTTTATATTTTTACAATGACGAAAAATGAAACATTTAATTTACAATTGTTGATTGATCATTTGTACAACTCAATTCCCAGTTGATTAATTTATTTCTGTCTATTGCTTTTCATTAAAGTAATAGGATCGTTTTATTAATGTACGTTAGTACCTATTAAAATCAAATTGTATATCAAAATATATGTTAAATTATTAATGATATAAATAAATGTTGAATTTGAGAATGGTCCATCAACAGGATACGCCACTGCATCCAGCAGCCGGGTTGGACCATTCCAGGATACGACAGATCGCAGGATCCGCGTCGCAGGAACGCGCCGTTTGGGCAGAGCGCGATCGCGACCCCACGCGTCACATTAACACACTGAACCAGAAACTGAAGAAACTAGCCCGCCATTTCGACACGAAAATACTCACAAAATCAGTACAGGACACTCACAAACTGCAATACAAACACTACAATCGCAACTTAAAACAAATAATAGCAACAGATAATCAAGTTCACGATCACAGACGAGAAATACGTAACGATTTGAACTCATCCCCGTAGTGAATTAAAAAAAAAGATAATAAGAGCCACCTGAAATCGGGCGGTGGGTGGAAATCGCGTGTGTGCGAATCGGACGCTCCTGGAACCAGGCCAAAGGTAATTATTTTATTGTAATTATCTGGGCACAAGATATGGAAATTCCGCGAGGGCACTTCATCAAAGGCGCAGGAAGTGCCGCTAAAGAGGAAACAGGGATGATGGCAAGGGTGGTGGTGTAATCTGGCGCGTGCATCTATCTAGTCCGAAAAAAAAAATAGAAAAAGAAAATTTAAAATAAAGTTACGTAACCTTGTCTCGTCTCTTAAGGCGATGGCAGTCCATGGCAACAGGAAATCAAAAAAAGAATCGACAGACGTTACCATGGAAACTTAAAGTTGGACGGTTTTCTCGAATGTCAAATTAAAGTTTAAAATATCGATCCACTTCCATTATATACATTAAATCACTACATTATATTGAAAATAGGACGAGATTCAAATAATATTCAATTTCTCTAAATATAATATAATAGAATAACATGTTTTTTTATGTAGTTTACCTAATGAAGACCAATTACTTCTATATTATAATCGCGTGTTCCTAAAGCTTTTAGTTATGATTGACATTATTTTATTGTCAAATCTAAAATCAATCAGAAATATAATATAAATGAAATTCTCTAAAGTTTCTCAACGAATAATGATAGAATGATGCAATTCTAAATCGAGAGCGCAGATCGGAATTCTTCCAAACGACATTACAAAGTAAATATTGTTAAAAGCAATAATCACAGGTAAAATGGATGGAGCGAACGCTGTTCGGTATCAAAGTGTTTTCGAGAACGTTGCTTCACAATTTATTACTAGAGATTTTTATAAAAGACCAAAGAAAAGAAACAAAGCAACAAAAATTGATTCTCCTAAATTTTCCAAAGTTAACTAGAACTGAGATTTATTAACATAAACACATTTCAGTTGAATTCAGTTCATTTTTAAATCAAATCATTTATTTTATTCTACCTGCATTCAAGTTCGTAAAACTATCTCATTTAATAATAAATCTATACTTTAATTGTGTTGTAAAAATTTCATAAATTACATAATCGAATCTTATACTAATTCTTATTAGATACATGTATTTCTAATAAGAATAGATTATTCAAAAGTACATAACATAAAACTAATACATAAACTGAAAATAAGTAAACAAGACAATATAAGAACTTTGTAGTAGCAGTGAAATTAGTTGTAAGTAGGAAAGTTCTTACAGCACTCAAAGTATTGCCACTTCTTTCCATTAGAAAACAACAATAATGATACTAATATATAATGGAAACACTTATTGGGTGAGCGTTTCCAATTTTGCTGATTGCACACTTCGAACCCTGAACCATTTGCGCAAAAAGGTTTTCAATATCTGCTCAATTCTTAATCTCATAATCGAGAAATATTTAATAGGAAAAGGATGCTCAAAAATTACATAATTAAAAAATCGATCGATCCCGGATTTAGTCCTCATTTCCGGCCCATTGGCCGGTACTGCAATTCCATTTCCGGAGAGATACGTTTGCCAAACACGCCAAAAAATCAATTCCGTCTCTAATTCCCGATTAAGTTAATTTCCAGTCAACGAATGCAAATAAATGTAATTAGAAAAAATAAAATCTAATAAGACAAAAAATAAAATTTTGTATTGTCTATTTATGGATGAAATAGACAAGTTGTACCAAATTTTGGATGATATATTACGATTAAAGAAGAAACTTCCCTAGAACATAAACTATATACATTTAATGAATATGGTAATGAAAACTAATAAAAACAGTGTTTTTGTAAGTTAACCAAAATTGTAGTAAAGTTAGTTGAATTTGTACTAAATTTAACTATCTATTTCATTATGACTAGTCAATTAACATAAGAAAACTTTTTTCATTCACTCGCCTCGATTGCCAATGAACTTGAACAAAGAAATCACTTGAAAGCAAAAGGAAATAAAAGCGAATCAATTTACTCGTTCAATTACATAAAACGCATTCAGTTTAATTACACCGCACATTCTAAATAATAGATGTCATTCCCCGTTGTGACATCCTCCCTTCGCTCACGACTAAAGTTTAAAGTTCGCATCCTTGGCTCGTTTCCATTACCAACACCACCCATTCATTCCTCATCCTTTTCCCATTTACTTACNNNNTTTCACCCTTTTTCATTTCCTAAGGATTCCCTCGACGCGGCGCCGACCCGGGCAGGCGCAAAGCGGGAAAACGCGAAGCACACCGGCCGCGATCCAGTTTACCGGAACCTTGGCGCGACGGCCGTTTACATAATTGTGTGTTCGTTTGCGTGAATGAGCACCGAATAAGGCATCGCCAACAATAATAATAATAACAACAACAAGAGTCGAAAAGAAACGGCAACAATCAAAATAAACTTATATTGAGCACAGAAACAAAGAGGTTCGCGCACTTTCAGAGGGAAAAAATGTACACGACCGCATGCATTATTCACGTGTAAGTATGGATCACCGTTTTAACAAGGTTCAGTGCACCGGCGGTGATTAGGGTTTAAAGTCGCGAATAAAAAATCGGATCATTACCACGTTACCATACTTCGCGAATGAGAATAACCTAAGAAGAGAGCAGACAAACTTCGAGAGTCCCTTAACGGAAATCGACTTAGTCTCGCAATCGATACGAACACGGACGTTTCCTTTTTTTAGCTGAACGGACAGCAGTTTTAAGGATAACTATTTGGTTGTGTAATCAAATAACTCTCAACAACCACTTATTATACGAACGTGGTTCAAGGCATTCACACTTTTAACTTATAATTTAAAGTCACCAATAAATATTGCTATTATTTTAACTCGACTCGAAACAATCATACAGAATCTAAACTTGATGACTAGTCGTGATTCTTTCTATACAATATCAAAAAGTTTAGATTTTTTTTAGATCCCAAATTGAACAAACATAATTAACAAATTGACAAAATCACTTACTTCTTTTCAATCCATATCGACATTCTATAATTTGCAGTTGTTGAAATCAGCTCCTCTGCACATTGTATCTAGTCTGAAGAGGATTCTGTAACAATTAAAAAGAAATAAAGTTAATAAAATTCGGTCATTAGTCCATTGATCGTAATAGACCCATTGAAAAATTATAATAACAATTTGAACAGAAAGGCCTATAGTCAATAGATCTTTTTGGCTAATTATTGTTATTGAATTAAAATGTTTAACACATTAAGGACGGCGCTTTTCGGGTTGTCTGCCCCCAGAAAATTTTTCGTGGACGCCTATGGACTGAGTGAAAAGTCAATCTTACGTCAATTATAACCTTCAAACGTTTAAATTTTTCTTATACATTTTTTAATGATATTGAAGCAATTTATAACAATTGTGTGAAAAATATTGAAATTTTCATTCAATTCTATACTTGCTAGGAAAAAGTGCTATAGGTTTTATAATAAGCAATAATAATAATTGATTATTGCAATTTCTATTCAAGTCGAATATATCATCATGTGCATATTCAAGCTCTAAGCTATTGTATTTGAATAAATGAGCAATTTTTATATATCTGCTTATGATAATCATATTGTATTTTTAATGCCGTTGCGTTTTGAATGAAAATTTCAAATATGTTTCGCAAGTTAATTTGTAAAGTATGCCTAAATTATGTCACAATATCACGTATTGTTCTAAATNATCAGTGGCGTACATAGCAACAAAACTATTATTTATAATTAATGACCCACCGGTGGGTCATGCCGTCGTCAATGTGTTAAAAAAAATATGTGACTTTAATAATAAAAATTATTATTTTTGAAAATTTTGCTTCAATTTGAAATTATAAAAGCGAATAATCAATATTTGTCGATTATTAGAGAGTGGTAATAAGATGAGAATAAAAATCGCCGAAAATCAAAAGTGCGCATTGTCAAACAAACAATCACGTGATGCAAACAAAATGGAAATCATGTCAATCATACAAAAGAAAACCGCAAACATAAATAAGAAATTGACGAACATTGATAGGTTTCAATAAAAGCAAAGATTACTCACGCTCAGCGAATTGATTTCCTTCCCAATTTGAATTCCCATTCGATCGCATTGAAATAACAGCAAACAGAGCGGAGATTCACAATCAAATGCATTTTTGCAACAAACAAACAGCGACGCGCACAACCGACTGAGCGACGTGAAGTTGCACTGAGCGACACGAAAATGCCGCTCGCTGATTGGTTGAATTCAAACGCAGACGAGCTCACTATTCGAACACGGGAGGGGCGGCCGCACGAAATCGCACGTGTGTCGAATTGCATCGCGCATTTAAATACGAATCGAATTCGAATTGCATCTCAAGTGCATTCAAACTTAAAGAAAAGACGATAATCGTCAGATATATTGATTTAATTTAACTGTAATCACTATTGTATGAACAAAACAAAAGAAAATAAACAATTAACACAATGTAATTATTGATTTTAACTTTGATGAGAACCGCTAGAGTGCATTAATGACAACAAATTCAATTACATTGCGTTCTAATTTATTCATTTAAACTTTAAACAAAGCTACCGCAAAATCCAATTACATTTAATGTATCCGAACTTTAATTAACAATAATTAAATATGAATATCATTTGAGATTATCAAAATTCAATTAAAAATTTATAGTAATTGTTTTAAATGTTGCTTTCAAATCAAATTTAAAACAAAAGTTTTCAAACCAGAATAGAAGCATCGATCTATTATTCATGTGGAATTTTTCTATTTTTAAGCCGCCATTATTATTTATACATCATGCGTATACGTCATTCCGTCCTTTTGATGAACACTTTCACAATGCGACTCGTTTATTTATATAAACGTATGTATATGCATGTTATTACGTACGAAAAGTTAATTCATTATCTAAAAAGCTTTCGCATCGATCGATTATCATAACTTTTTACTTTACCGACCTACGTAAAAGATGATGAGTATATAATTAACTCATTTTAATGCACACAACTGATAATTCCAATAAAACAAAATAAAATGTTGGTACACTTGGATATTTTGATGATCGGTTTTGTTTTTATAACTAAAATCAGATGGCGTTCGTCTGAAGATGCAAGCATGCGTTTCCGGATTATAAATAAACACAAAAATTGCGCTAAATTTAGTTCAAAAGACGAGTTTTTGCCAAGATCAATACTTTTGATTTGATGGCTGCACCGGATGCGATTTCCCTTCATTTCGATCAACCGATGATTGTAAGTAGTGGCGATGATGATTTTGATGTAATTTCGTGTGTATTGTTTTAGACCGTGTCCGAGCCCGTCTCTGCTGGCCGAGGATCCTCCGAGCAGCGAGAATGTCAGCGATCTGGAAGACGTAAGGGGCCCGAACGATCCCGCGCTCCTAAATGGGTAAGCCAAGGACAGAAATAGTAATAGTTCGCAATGATTGATAGAGAAACGAAAGTGTTCGGTGTTCTCTCAACCTCCACACAAAACAACATACAAAACAACATACTCAAAAAAAAACACACACAACGCAAACAAAGAGGAGAGTAGTCATGGTAACCCAAATAAATAAATTACTCTTCAGATTGACGCAGAATTCGGTGCGTTGCGAAAACTCGAGGCGATCGGAAAGTGAGAGTGGGAAACTAGTTTTAGAGAAACGGGGGGGACAAGGACGACAGCCTCCGAAATGTACCAGAACGTGCGTGTTGTCGCCGTCTACGATAGACCAATATATCAAATCGAAAAAAAAAAAATGAAACGCAACAAAAAAAAACGTTAAAATTTATAGCGATATTTTAATCCACTTTGATATAATCACGTTTCGGACTCAGTCGAAAACGCGTCTGTTTCTTAGTCCAAGTTCTGTTATCCTGCGACGCCGACGACGAAATGGACGAGGACGACCGCAGGAGGCGCTTCAGTTTCCCGGCGATGCGGGTTTTCGTATTTCCCGCGCGTCGCATTTTCCGCCGGCACTCCACACCGAACGGATACAAGTAAGCCACGAACGAAAAAAGAAAAGAAGAAACAATTGAATTTAAAATAGACTTTCCACACTTAATTAACGTCTCTGCTGTATTTGCGTTTTTTCATAAATTAAACCGTCAATCACGACAGACACACGGCAAGAAATGACCGAACAGGTGGATCCAATTCAAAAGTTAAGTTGGCGTAATTGAACGAGTGTCAGTTTATTAATGATCGGAAATAACAACGACGAAATGAAACAAAAGAAAGTTAATTTAACAGCTGCGGCGGTATCGAGTGACGTTTGCTTGTCAGTTTATCGGAGAGGCGGCACTTTGTGTAACGATCACGAAGATGAGTGGAATTTAGACCGAAAAGATGTATTTCGGGAAATAGTTTTTTTTTTCATTCGATTTAAGTATAGATATATTTAGACTATTTCCACATCTAATATGAAAGGCTAATTTGGTTGCCAACAAAAAAAAATTACACCTTAATTTTCACTAAAATAGTTACGTAATTATTTAATCAAATTATGAAATGGAAATAAACTAAATAAATCAATTCAATTGAAAATCTAGATTGTATCTACTATTAAATAACGCACGCACATTAGATTACGATCGAAACTCACTGGAGTATATAGTTGCATATATTCTTATCCACTTGCAAACTTATGCAACGCTCGGTCTATGTCAGTGGTTTCCAAACTTGAAGTTACTACGCCTACCTCAAAAGTATGTAATCATTTGGCGCCTCCCCAAGCCCCTTCATTTCATAAAAAGAACGCGTATTACACCCAAACGGCTAAAGCCACAATAATATATCGATACTTGCTAGATTCCCCAAACATTCAGCTTTCATATGCATCTTTAGGATTCATTCTATGTATTATAGTTTTCGAGAAAATTTTGCTAGATTCCCCAAACATTCAGCTTTTATATGCATCTTTTGGATTCATTCTATGTATAATAGTTTTCGAGAAAATCAATGAAATCTAAAAACAC